TAAAACTCTGTCTTCATTAAACAAACGTTCTTTCTCCTGCCCCAGCCTCTGGAAATCACCATAGTATTTTTTTTTTTTTGTCTCTATGGATCTGACTACACTCAGTGTCTCCTGTAAGTAGAATCATATAGTAGTTGCCTTTCAGTGACAGGTGTATTTCACTTAGCGTAATGTCCTATGTCCTTCAAAGTTCATCTGTGTGGTAGCATGAGTCTGAGTTTCCTTCCTTTTAAATTCTGAATAATATTCCATTGTGTTGTATGTATCGATTAAAACAGACTTGGGATGATTCAGGAAATAGCAGGACCGGCCACCACGTATGGACTGAACCCCACTACGTGCCAGGCTGCGTGATAAAGCATCACAATCAACAAGACAGTGTATTTTCATTTGATAGATGATGAAAGTGAGGCTTTAAATGTTTAGTTTGCCCATCCCTTATCATATAGGGAGTAGTGGCAAACCCAGGACTCACGTCTCAGTGCTCTGAGATGGGTCAGCAAACTATAGCCTGTGAGCCGAATATTGTCTGTTTCTGTATATCCCTTGAACTAATAATAGTTTCTAAGGGGTTTGAACAGCCTCTGGAAAAGGAAGAACAATTTGCAACAAAGACCATATGCACAGTGCAGTGCCTAAAATTCTTCCTGTCTGGCCCTTTACATGACACAATTCGTCTGTCAGCGACCCGTCCTTTATCAGGGAGGGAGAACATTTACTGTCTCACATTCCTTGACTCATTCTAACCCTCAGATCTCTGTTTCTACATATCCCACAAGAGACTTGATGCTTGTTTTGATCTAGCTGACAACACACAAGTGTGGGAGTTCTCCAGAAAACCCCGGGGTGGGGAAAACTCCTCGCCTGAGGATGAAGAATATGGAGTCTTTAGCTTTTGGTTACCTCTCTTTTCACTGGCTTTCAGGGCGTGTGGAAAATGTTCAGGTGCTGAAGATTTCTGGAAGCCTAATCGCTTAAGGGGAGTGTGGTTTATAACATTAGTCTTCTGACTTGAGTATCATAGTTTTGCTAAATAGGTAAACAGGCATTTGAATAATTCCCTGCTTTCCCAGGATCATATTTCTAGGAATGCCAAACACCCAGCACCTAGAACTTGACTTTGAAGTCAGGGGAAAGGGTCTCTAGCGGCATCGTTGTAGTTTACTCAAAGCATGGACACACAAGGACACATTCTTGGACCTTGATCTAAGCAATGAGTATTCATTAGGGAGCAGATTAGCAGCAAGGAGAAATGACAACAGACAGCAGCGGGGAATGAGCAGTGCTGCCAGAGAGACAGACTGACAGACTTCACGGCACAGCAGGCTGAGGCCACACAGTGTGGAGCCTGTGTCCCCACACATCCCCAGGGCACCCAAGGGAGTGGATCACACAGAATGACTGATGCCTTCCATGAACTGGGTACGTGAAGGAAAAAAGAATAATTCATGTTTTAACTTTGCAAAATTAAAATTAAAATACTTTTGTAGTTCTCAGTTTGAGTTCCAACTTAAAAATGGAAGCATGATGACATGATGAATTTAATTCCATGCACATGGTCATTGAATACCATTGAATAGAATAAAAAGGCTGATGAAGGTATTAAAATAAATAAGGAAACGGGTGTCAACAGACCTCAGATATCAGGTAATTTGTTCAAGGCCATCAATTTTGTTACTGAGAAAACCAGAGTTCTCTGAACTTTCAGGTTAGCATTGCTCACTGTTCTCGGCCCCACGCCCCTCCGCCCCTCCGCCCCAAAGTCAGTAAACTCCCGCCTGCAGGCCAGATTCAGCCTACCACCTGATTTGTAAATAAAGTTTTATTAGAACCTGGCCCCGCCCATTGGTTTACTCTCGTCCCTGCTGCTTTTGTGCTACAGTGCTACAGGGGAATAGTTGCCACAAAGACTCGTCCTTGCTCTTCTATGTACTTCACATTTCTGAGTATTATTTTCTCATCTGTAAGGTAGACCTGGTGATATCCTTGATCATTTTAGGGATCTATTTGGAAATGTATCTAAAACGTCCATTGTAACTTCTGGTGTATAGCTGAGGCTCAAAGGATGATGCAAGTGACGGAACCCAAACTTAACTCTAATGAAGAGGAGAATTCACTGGCTCATGCAGGTGGGAAGGAGAGTTAGGGTGGCCCAGAAGACTGAAGGGGAAGAATGGGCACCTGGGCTTCTGGGACCAGAGCTGGAAGGTGAGATCACCAGGACTCACTCACTTTCTCTCTTTCTCTGTGTGTGTGTCTCTTGATCTCTGTCTCTCTCCCTCTCTGTCTGGCTTCATTTGCAAATACCTTCACCTCATGGCAGAGAATATGGCTGCAGATATTCTCCCTGGCCCCTCAAGACAAAAGAAATCTGTCTTCTCTCCTAGCTTTCAAATATCAATCCCACAGGTGTTCTTTGGTTGGTTCAGTTTGGGTCATGTCATGGGTCTAACCCTTTAACCAAACTCTGATGGCTAAATGGTCCATCAAGATTTGTGCTTGGGTACGTGAAGGAAAAAAGATTAATTCATGTTTTAACTTTGCAAAGTTAAAATACTTTTGTAGTTCTCAGTTTGACTTCCAACTTAAAAATGGAACCATGATAATCTGATGGAGCTCTGTCTGGGAAGCAGCCACCCACGCAGGGACTTCATTTCCCAGCCCCAGTTGCATCCAGATGAGGCCATTACTTACACGGCCTCATCTAAACTAATTCTTATCAGAATCAGTATTAATTAATATGTGTAACTCTCAGGCCATGGAGGTTATGAAACAATGTATCTTTTCCATCCCCTTGGTCTCCTTCTACCAGTGGATCGTAATGCCCAGGGATATCTTGGGAATATTTGTTGAAGGACAGTTGATCTCTGAATGACTGTGTGGAGCAAAACCACCTCCTTTCCCAATCAGATCTTGATGGCCTAACACTGTTTATGTGAGCAGGAAACAAACTTCTACTGTAATTGAGCCATGATACCTTTGGAGGCCTGTTGTTATAGCAATTGACCTACTCTAACTAAAACACACACTGTGATGCGGCTGGCTTGGTCTCATGCTCATCCTTGTGACAGGGGAATGGAAGACTGACAGAATCTATTACCAGAAGAAAGGGGAGAGAAGAAACATGTAGGAAACACCATAAAGGAGCAAGGAAATAACTAGTATCACCTACAAAAATTAATAACTATTTTGTGATTTATTGTGATTTATAAAATGTTCACAATGTTCCATCATCATAAACATGGGCTTACTTTGAGCCCATGACCTGAAAGAAACTGGTTCATTAGTCTTTTAAGCTTTCTCAAGTTCCCTCTTAATGGAAGGATTTTGTCTTACAATAAACAGAGCTCCAAGGGGTCAGAGGTGATGCTGTAGGGGGTGCTTCACTGCCATGCCCTATTGACCCCTTTGCTGGGGGAGCAGTGAGGGGTTGCTAATGGCCCTTATTAGGACCCCAAATATCCTTTCATGGTCTTTATTCCACAGACAGGATCAGGAGCTCTGAAGGCCTAGGGGCCTTTAGATGGTATTCTGACATCAACTGGTGTCATGAAATTTAATTCTGCCACTACCCCCTGGAGTTAGCATTAGACTCCATTAAGGTTCAAGGGCACAGTCCCCAACAAGACTGCCCCCACTTCAGTTCCCGGGCCACCAGCACATCTTTTTCTTCTTTTAAACATTTTTTTAAAATGTATTTATTTTTGAGAGAGAGAGACAGGGTGCAAGAAGAGACGGACAGAGAGTGAGACACAGAATCCAAAGCAGACTCCAGAGCACAGAGCCTGACATGGGGCTCAAACCCACAAACCATGAGATCATGACCCGAGCCAAAGTCGGACGCTTAACCAACTGAGCCAGCCAGACACCCCAGGCCACCAACACTTCTGATCAGTAAACTACAAATATGGGAGGAGCGGTTCTCAGAACCCCTCACATTTGATAATTTGCTGGAATGAGTCACAGAACTCAGGAAAGTGCTTTTCTTATTATTTTAGTTTTATTATAAAGGATGCAAGTCAGGACCCATCAAAGGAACAGATATATAAGGCGAGATCTAAGAGGGTCCTGAATTCAGATCTTTTGTGCCCTTTTCCTGACATCAGGGCACGTCGCCCATCTGGCACATCAATGCATTTGTCAAGCATACTGGAAGTTCCACCAAACATCTGTGTCCAGAGTTTTTATTGGGGTTTCCTTATATAAGCATAATCGATTGAATCATTGGCTATGTAATTAAACTCAACCTCTAACCTTCTTCCTCCTTCCAGAGGTGAGGCTCGTTCACAGCCCCAACCTTCTAATCACATGGTGGATCTTTCTCGTGATCATCTCCCATTCTTAGTCGTCTCATCTTTCAGTTCAAACTCAGGTGTGATCCAGTAGGCTCATGAGTAACAAAGCTATTCTTATTACACGGGGAATTCCAAGGACTTTGAGTCTTCCTCCCAGGAACCAGGGACAAACGCAAGTCAAACTCTCTACTGTACAACAGATGGGTTATCTATACAAAGGTTTGTTTTGTTTGTTTTTTATAACTAGACGTAGGTAAATTAAAGCCTATTGTCTATTTAATCAGGTGAATTAATGCCAAGAAATAAAACTAGGGATTATAGTGAGGGTATTGCTGTTGGAAAGTTGTCAGTGGAGTTAACACACTATTTTCTATCAAAGATCAAGCTATTCCAGTGAAACAAGAACAGATTCTCCTGTACTCTTCCTGTATATAAACACAAAGCCTTCCACTAAGCAGTCTTCCATCTAATTAGGAGAACCATACGAGCATTTTGATTTTTATAAGGAAATGTGAACTCTACCACTCACCCGTATATATACATACCTATGAACCAAGAATATGCTACTACTAACTGCTAACATTACTGAATGCTTACCGTCTGCCAAGGACTGTATTAAGAGCTTCATGAACATTATTTGATCCTTACCACAAACATGTAAAATCAACATTATAATCATCCTCATTTTATACGTAAGTAATTTACCTTACGTCACACAGTTCAGAAGTGGTAGAGTCCGAATTCAACCTCAGATGTCTGGCTCCTTTCACCACTACACTTGAGCCCATTCCTGCAAAGACCCCGGTGGAACAGAAATGGGATTTAGGGAAGAGGATTTAAGGGATGTGGTATCTATTTGTTCATCTATATATTCTAAGTGCTCTTGGGTGGAAGTTTTCATATCTACACCACACACCTCAAAAACCACCTTCACTAAATCATGTTTTTTAAATGTTTTATTTATTTATTTTTTAATTTACATACAAGCTAGTTAGAATATAGTGCGATAATGATTTCAGGAGTAGATTCTAGTGATCCATCCCCCATGTGTAACACCCAGTGCGCACCCCAACAAGTGTCCTCCCTGATGCCCCTTGCCCATTTAGCCCATCCCCCCTCCCACAACCCCTCCAGCAACTTCAGTGTTTTCTCTGTATTTAAGAGTCTCTTACGCTTTGTCTCCCTCCTTGTTTTTATAATATTTTTGCTTCCCTTCCCCTATGTTCATCTGCTTTGTATCATGTTTTAATGTTGTTGCTTGACTATGTAATGCTGGGTGCAAGTAACAGCCTAAATTCCTTGTCTGAATTCTTGGTGAAACTTCTGTGGAAGACACTGAAGGATCCAAGGACAGCTGTGCCCTACTGATTAAGCCCTATAGAAATTTCTCTGAGTTTTCTACAAGGTAAAAATCTTTTGGCTCCTGAAAACACTGCTATAAATCTGCCTCTTGGATTTCATTGTTTCACACAAACTCATTGTTTATCTCTGCAGCTCTTTGCCCAAAATTTTTAATATAATTTTATATACTGGTAGAGCAATTATGGTGACTCCAATGGTCAGAACATTAGCTTTTTAATTTTTTTTTATTTTTGCTTAATCCAGCTTTATCTGTTTTTATTCTCATTTTATTAAAATCCTATTTTGGCCACATTATTTAAACCCTCCAGTAATTTTAGACCAGAGTAAAAACAAACATTCTTGATATTTGGTGATTATTATAAATCCCATCTATGAATGACCAAATTTTATATTAATAAAATAAAATCAACATTAAAATTATACTGAGCTGAGTGTAATCTTTGCCAATTATTTGAATTGCATTTTGGGATCTTTCCATAATTCTACATTATTATTAATATGAATTATTAACTATCAGGTAAATGTCAATATCAACTATATAGAAGTACAGAATTGCCAGTTAAATATTTCTACTTGATAATGATAATGATGTCAATATAATAATAATCATGAATATTTGCATATTGTTTAATTCAGTAAAGATTGAATACTTCTGCGTATCAGATAAAAGAAGTTTATATTCTAAGGAGTGGAGTTATTAACAGTCCAAATTATGTTCCTCACCCCCCAAACTCACAGATTGAAGTCTTAAGCCCTAGTACTTATTTGGAGAGAGACAGTCTTTCCAGAGTTATTTAAGTAAAAATGAGGTCATTAGAGTAGGCCCTAAAACAATATGATCGGTGTCCTTCTGAACAGGAAATCTGAGCAGAGGCACACATAGAGGGAGGCCAATATGAAGAGGCTCAGGGAGAAGATGGCCGTCTACAAGGCAAGGAGAGGGCCTAGAACAGATTTGCGCTCACAGCCCCAGAAGAAATAACTCTGTCAACGCCTTCATTGTGGACGTCCAGCCTCCAGAACTGTGAGACAATATATTTCTGTTGTTTAAGCCACCCAGCCTCTGGTCCTTTGTTACAGCAGCCCCAGCAGATGAATACAGCGGTACAGAGCTCTGAGATGAGGAAGAAATTAATGAGTTCAAGCAACAGAAAAGCATCCAGTTCATCTGGAGCCCAGTGGGTTAAGGAGGAGAACATGATTAAGGAGATGTGTGTAAACATTTGCTGGAGTCCAAAGCTGGGCCTGTGAACGTGGCCTTGGGTAAGCTACTAGAAGAAAAGGACCTCAAAATATCATGGCTCAAGTAGGATAAAAGTTTGTTTTCCTTCCATCCAATGGAGCAAAGGAAGATGAGAGGTCTAGAGCTGGTAGAATGGAATGCCGCCGGACAGATCTGCCATTTAAAAAAAAGTGTTTATTTTTGAGAGAGAGAGAACAAGACTGAGAGACAGACAGAGAGAGCCAGACACAGGGCTTGAACTCATGAAGCACAATATCATGACCTGAGCTGAAATTGGACGCTTAACTGTCTGAGACACCCAAGTGCCCCAGATCTGCCATTTTTAAGTATGTGTCTTCCTTCTCTGAGTCCCAGGCAATTGCTCCAGTTGGTGCCATGCTACAGCCAGTGACAGGAGGAGGAAGAAAAAATGGAGGCAGAGAGCTTCCGTACAGAAGGAAAGAGAGAGAGAGAGAGAGAGAGAAAGCCTGAAGTTGCACACAGGGTGTTTGCTCTCAACCCACTGGCCAGACCTCAGCCAGGCCTCTACACCTGTGGCCATGAAGTCGAGGGTGGGCGGTCGCTACCTACCGCTGGAGGAGATCTATTTCCAAGAATTCCTTGCTAATTTGGAAAGTTGTGCTTCTAAAAGTAAGAAAGAAGGAGTAGCCTCTGGGGAACAATTAGCAATGTCTGCTCCAGCCCCATCTCATTTAGCTGGAAGGCTGGACACATCTTAACCTCTTCCTTCGAGGAGAGGTGGTCGAGGGGACAATGTGGACTATCTCTTGTCTTCTACCATCTCTCCAGTGATTTTCCAAGAATGGCTCTTCAAATGAGATGAGTGGCCAGAGAGTGGGGGCCCAGCCTTGTCTCTTGCATTTTCAGCACAGCCCTGGAAGATCTCTCTGCTTCACCTGTAATAACCCTCTCCAGTCACCATGTTTTCTGCCATTCGAGTCTTGTCTTGAATCCTTCGTGCTTGTGAGCCGCCAGAGGCAGGCAGTTTATGTGCTTGGCGTGCTCTGCAACTCTCCAGCACTCTGAACCTTTGCTGCACGTCAGAAACATTTATTAATATCAATGCTAATAACAGTACCTTGCAGGGGTGAGCTGGCTCAAACGTGCAAGATGGCAGCATTTCCCATTACTGTGCTTTCATTGTTCACCAGCACATGACAGGCAGGGATAAATTCAGACTTGCCTTTTCAGTACTCTTACTTAGGTTACTGATCCCATTACTAGAAGTCCTTCTTTGCTGGCATCTGTAGAAACATGCAGCAAATACAGGCTGTAGGGTATTCTCATGGTCCATTTATATAGAATGAAATGGAAAGGTCTGATTTCTGTGAAAGATAAAGTTTCCGACTCTGTAGCCCGAGGTTGTCTGGAAATGGAGTGGGCATAAAGGCTGAGTACAGGTTGGATCTTGCCTGCCTTCTTGGTTGCACGATGGAAAAGGATGAGCAGAGAAAGCAAAATTACCTGCCTATAAGATCTGTACCCCCATCTCTCATTCTTTGACTTTAAAAACTCCCTCTGTGTGGAACTGTATACACTGATGTAAATTGCTGACCTGATCGAACCCAGGTTTATGTCAAGAACTATGCAGAAAGCGTTCCAAGCCTTATCCCTTATGAACCTCACAGCAAGTGGTTGCTGTAGGTGCTATTGTTATCCCCATTTCATAGATGAGGAAACTGAGGCTCAGAGAAGTCAACGCTGTGTATTCAAGGCAGCACAGCTGGTAAGGGGCAGAGCCAGCATTCGAACCCAGACCCCAGCCTGTGACCCCAAACCCTACTGCCTGTTAAGATGGACACTGGAGAGTTTGCATGCAGCCTGCAGCTGCTTCTCCTCACCAGGTCTGGAAGCTAATGGCCATCCGTGCTGTGGAAACCAAAGGGGACCCTGCTGGGGAAAACCCCTCTGCTCCCCTGAAATAAGCTGATCTAGACTTGTTCCCTCACTCTCCTCCCCTTCACAGGTCTCTGTTACCCCACTGGATTCCTGACACACTGGGTTGCTAGTTTTGTGTCTGGGGAGTTCCTGGGTTCTGCAAGGTGCTGTCTCCACATCTTCTCCATCACGGCTTCAGCTGCAGTGCCAGGTCAGCCCCTCCTCCATCGGCTGGCCCCGGACCCCAGATAAAGCAGGCGGTGCTCTGAGCTCAGAAACAGGGATTCATAATGAACAATCAGCACCCCACTGTCGGGGTTTCCCGTAATCCTCTCATGAGAAACCGAGTCTGCAGAAACACCGTCTTGCAAAGCCTGTCTGTTGCGAATGATGTACCTGTCACATGTGAAGGGACTCATGGCCACAGGAACACAGTGGAAATGAAGGGCACCAGCCTGCGATTCCAGAAAAGCTGTTTCCAAACACCTCCTGTCAGGTACCGTGTTAGACCCCAGCGCCTGCCTGATCTTGTGCAAACCTCAAACTGACTCTGGGAGGTAAGCTGTTTTCACAAATGAGAACACCGAGGCAAGGTAGCTCGAAGAGCTTCTCAAAGGCTATTTGGCTTGTACATGGACTATTCAGTCACTAATTCCCATGTTCTTTCCTTATCTCTGTTACTAATTTACTTTGCAGTTTAGATGGGAAAATTCTTGTCCTTATTTTCATGTTTAAAATTCAAGGGTTAGATCAGACCAATGTTTTCTTTTTTCTTTTTCTTTTCTCTTATTTTTTATTTTCAGACCAGTGTTTTCTAATTGTGCTTTAAGGGGGTTTATAGCCACAGGCTATTGAGTTACTCAAACTTGGATTTTGGCCTCAATTTATTTTTTTTTTATTTTTTAATGTTTATTTATTTTTGAGAGAAATAGGGAGAGAGAGGGAGGGAGGGAGGGAGGGCAAGCATGAGTGGGGGGGGGGCAGAAAGAGAGGGAGACAAAGAATCTGAAGCAAGCTCCAGACTCTGAGCTGTCAGCACAGAGCCCAACGTGGGACTCAAACTCATGAACCGTGAGATCATGACCTGAGATGAAGTCAGACACTTAAACGACTGAGCCACCCAGCAGCCCCTGACTTCAACTTTTAAAACTTCTTGAGCATTTTTCAAATTTATTGAGCAACTACTATGTCTTGGGCATTGTTCTAGCCAAAAGGGAATAAATCAAAAATAAAGTCTCTGATCTAGGGAGGCTTAGACAGGGCTTTAAGGAGAGACATAAACAAGTAAGATAATGCCAGTGT